TCTATTTCATTAAAATCAGCAGAATATCCAGATGACTGTAGTGTAGTTTCTTCCATTTCTAAGATGACAGAAAAAAATATTGGAAACATCTGCATATTACTTTACAGTTAAAAGTCATTTTGAGCTGTGCTAAGTAGAGGTCTGAAGTAGATGGTCTGAAGCCTAGTTGTCTTTTCTTTCTTGAGTATGACAATAGAAATGATGAAACTGCTTTATAGCTCAAGAATGGCTTTGTGGGATTTCCAATAAGGGTAACAATATCTCTTTAGATCTACGTAGAAACAGTTGCCACTAACAGCTGTCTTTTATTGTTTTAAAAATTTATACTGTATTTATATAATATATATATATTTATATTACAAGAGGCTTTCAAGAAGCAAATGTTATTCAAATTCTAGGGCAAATTCAATCAAATTAAATTTACCTTTACAGGGTCCTCTCTGAAATGAAATGTCATCTATAGCAATGTCACTTCTTATTGATATTCCACGCATTGCTTCAAATATAATCTGCATTTTTAAAAAAACATAATTTATTAATACACTTTGAATGTACAGTATAGAATATAAAACAGCTTTTTTATGAGCACTGTGCATGCAAGATGGTAATTTCCATACATTCTTGCTATCTCTGTAGAAATAATAGCAAACTATCATGGCTTGATTATAACTAATTGAAGCCGTAGAAAGCTCTATTAAATGAATATCTCCCCTAGCCCTCTCTACAGCCATTCTGGAGAGTTTGAGGATCCTTAGGAATAGAAAGAGATGAGACATAAAAGTGTGGAATTGTTCAAAATTGGCCAGAAGCATTACAACACTAAATTTGCTCCATTAATATTCGTATTATTTTGGCCTGTTTCCTCCTCTCTCAAGATCCCCTGAGAAGTCATACTTTTCAAGAAGGCTAACCAATCTTTCAGATAAACTTTGGGGCCAAGAAAATCCTACTGAATAAGTTTCCTTCCAGTTTTACTATTTAGATTCTGCCATCCCCCCGCCCCAAGGAACTATTATCCATCTTTCTTCTCAATGAGAGGGCCTTTAAAAAAAATCAATGTAATGTTTCTTCTCATATATTTTGATTTTTTTTAATTAGAAGAAAAAGGGAAAGGGAAAATCGTTCCTTTTTATCCTCTCTGGCAGGCCAGGTGATAGCAGAGGCAAGGGTTTCAGGGCAGAAGCACCATCTTAGACACCAAAGCAATAGTCTTCCACATTCTTTGTACTCTCTGCCATATTCAGCAAAGAGTAATTTTACTGGAAGAGCCTCTACCTTTGCCTTCATTAGCTGGATGTAGAAGCTCCACCAGCCTCATCTAAGCTAAGGTCAGAAGTCTGCTACTCCAAACTCAAAGCAATCCTGTACATATTTTTTTAGAAGAACTTACTTTTAGAAGCCAGAATTTTGATTGCATCAAAATGAATTCTTCCCCTAGCAGAAAAACTTGCCTTTCCTCCTTTGTGTCCTTAAAATCTATTCTGGAGATTTGAAGGACAGTTCATGAGCACAGATCTGTGCACACCTTGGACTGAACCATGTTCAGCTGTTTTCTCACATAAATGTACACAAGAACTGACACTTTGACATTTATATGCTGTATCTCTTTTTACTATTGTATATAGCTGAAATCCAAACTGTACAACATTAGATCTACACATTTAAATTATCTAAAACTGGATAGACAGAAGTATAGTTAGTATACTATACTAACAATATACTATATATTATATATAGTTAGTATACTAGAAACATTTGCCATTTGAAATTGTCCACTAAATTTGTGAAGAGGAAAGGATAGATGATTTATCTAATTTCTCCAGAATGAGAAATCCTTTAACAGTTACTCAAGAGCAGGGCTGTCCCTTAGTCACTGCCCCCTTATGTAGTACTGGGAAAAAACCCAAATCCAAAAGTTCCTTCATTATGCTTTTTCTTATAATTTAATTAAAGTTTTGAAAGCTAGGGAGTTTGTAAACTGCTGGAAAAATGGTTATACAATGAAAGATGGAGCATTCACAAACCTCCCCTTGACTACCTCCTTCCTAAGGGCAAAAACATCACACAGTACCCATGAGAATATTTTCAAAATTCTCTTTAAAATAATTTCTAAAGCAAATTCTCCATCAAATTAAATAAGAACCTTTAGGAAAAAATGCAGGAGAATTTCTGTGCATCACATCTGATACAGTAATCATCTTTAATGGCAGAAAGGCTTATTTGGGTTGCTTATACAATCAGTTTAGACAGATTCAAGATTATCCAATGCTATTTTGAATTGGCATGGCTCAATCACGTTTTTTTCCATACAGTTCTTGAGTAATTTGTACCTGTTACTGGCATTTAACAAACTTGTCAACAGGAAAATTCACCCCCCCCAAATGTTTATTTCACTGTCTGGGCCATAAGGCATTAGATATTAATTATATATCTGTTCCTATAAAGGGATTGATTGTTACATTGTTAACTTACCTGGTGAGATTTATCACATGTATATTCTATTAGGCCCCTTAACCATGAGATGCTTTGTTCACCACGTCTTCTCCAGATGAGGGTCTCCTTTTTTGCACCATGTTTTTTCAAATAAACATTTAACAGTCCTGTCCCACTTCCATACATATGATAAAAAAATATAAGGCACTGATGTCCAAACGTCTTTCGTAATAACCTTGAAATAAGTTGTGCTTTCTGTCCATAGATCATATTAGAAGCCTCTATGTACATGTAATATCCTTCAAAAAGAAAATATGTGAAAGTATATCTTACAAGATTTTAAAATTCATATAGAGTGATTAAATGTCTGAGTTTTACCAGAAACATCAAGGGCACACACAGTCCAAACCAGGAAAATGTCTCAGTTTCTAGCAGATGTCCCAGTGGGCTAGCAATAGCATTGTGAGCAACAGGAGGCTCACACAATAGCAGTGGGACAAACAGCTTCTTCATTTGCCACTCATAGTATCTGCACAAGTTCTTGAGGTAGGACTACATATTTGTAAAAATCCAGACAACCACTAGATTATTTTATTTAATTAATATCACCACCCACCTCATATATATGATTTTGGGCAACTAAAAATTAAAACACAATCAAAACAATCAAAGTTTGATACAACATAAATAGCATAAAATAGCAGCCAAGAACACTTATACCACTCAAAATAACAATGAAACAGGCTCACCCATACTATCAAGGTCCCAGGCTTGATGGCAAAATGAGGTTATTAGTACCTTGCGAAAGGCCAGCAGGGTCAGGGAAAATCTGATCTCTGGGGGGATGATGTTCCAGAGGGCAGGCAGAGATACAAAAAAACTTTGCTAGATTTCTAGTGGTTGTCTGGCTTTTTGCAAATATGGTTCTAGCAAAGAGTTAGTTTTCACTATCTCTCTGCTATAATCTGGTGGTTGTCTGAATTTTTGCAGCCAAGATGTGCTAGCCCTAAGTAGAACAGGCAGTAGCAGTGCAGAAAGCAATAGTCATAAAAATGAATCCAGTAACAGACTCTTAAAATTACTGAGTTTGCTTTCATTCATCAAGTTTGGGGATACCTCCTGGTGGAATAGGATATGGTGGTAGAA